ACTAGACTCAAGCAGAACTAGAAGCCCTGGATAGGAAGACCAGAAAAATAATGATAATGAATCATGCCCTTCCTCCATGCAGTGATGTTGATAGACTCTACATACCAAAGAGCATGGGTTGGCATGGAATGTTGCAAGTATACCAGACAGCTGAAGAAGAAAAAAGGGCATTAGAAGAATATCTGAAGGGCAGTGAAGAAGATGCATTGAAGCTAGTACACAATGAAGGCTTACTGAATAATGAAGAGACCAAGCTGGCCTACAACAAAGACCAAATGAAGAATAGAAAAGAGATACGGTATTACATGGTCAGTACTAGCAGGCAGCTAGTACTAGCAGGCAACTAGCAGACAAAGCACATAACTGTCAAGTTCAGCCAGCGCAGCACGGCTAGGAACTTGCCCAGCTGTGCTTTAGTCAGTTTTACCGCTCGAGCACTAGCACAGAAAGAGGAAGTGCGAAACCGCAAACTAATGAATGGGCCAGCTGGCGCCGCTTTACTAACTGCAAGCAGATGCGTTGCGTTAACACTGGATGGCCGCGGGCGCAATGGACAAAGGGGAGAGCCGCGGATCGAGGAAGAGCAATCAGTTCCCCGGCTCGGCACAAAGATCCAACGAAGGCAATGACCACGCCAGTGGCTAACAACAAAGAACAACAGAACTGGGCTGAACCTGACATTAGAGTAAAAGGGGGGATTACAGTGGGCAATCTGTAATCCACAACAAGTACTATGTAACCTAGCAACGGGGCTAGTGGAGGATTGGGACAACTATAAATTGTGTGGGAAGATGTGCCAAGCCAGTCCTGGCTTTGTTTGTAACTGTTGCCTTACGCTTGAGTAAACCTCTTTTGTGAACCACATGTGTCACGGGAGTTTCTCTTGTCGAACGGGGCATTCCTTACAATAACAACAAGAACTAGCAATGGCTAACAGTAGGAAAGTTGAAGAAAGAGGCAGAGGGACTAATTCTGGCTGCACAAGACCAAGCCTTAAGAACAAACACATACAAAGCCAGAATTGAGGAGCCAGCAACAGACAGCAAATGCCGCTTCTACAAAGAAGCGGAAGAAACATGATGAAGTATCAACAATGGTGCATTGGAATATCTGCAAGAAAGACCATTTGCCTGCAAGCAAGAATTGCTGGGACGACAACACAGACAAAGTAATAGAAAATGAAGAAGCTAAAGTGCTCTGGCACTTTCAAACAGACAAGTACCTGCTGCATAACACCCCAGACTTAACAACTGTTTATAAGAAATACGGAAAAGCCTGGATAATGGACATTGCAATACCTGGAAACAGCAGAATAGAAGAGGAAGAACTGGAGAAAATCACAAAATGCAAAGACCTGCAAATAGAAATAGAACGACTGTGGCAAAAGAAAGCAAAGAGAGTACCAAGAGTAATAGGGTGCAATCCCAAAACATCTGGAGCACCACTTGAAGACCATCGGCATTGACAAAATCACCATCGACCATCGGCATTGACAAAATCACCATCGACCATCGGCATTGACAAAATCACCATCGACCATCGGCATTGACAAAATCACCATCGACCATCGGCATTGACAAAATCACCATCGGTCAATTGCAAAAGGCAGCTTTACTTGGAACAGCTTACATCCTGTGACGATACCTTTAACACCATCAAACAACAACATCTGCCTATCCCAGGCCATTGGGAAGGACTTGATAGTTGGATAAAAGTGCCAAATCCAGTCTAAACATTTGGGTGACTGTGCAACCAACAATAATAATAGTATTGAATACAGTTTGCCATTGACTCACAATAATCTGTTATTCTCTCACTCAATTTGCTACTTATTTTGATAGCAGCAGCAGCTTTTCCCCTCTGTAATGAAAAGGTGAATATTTCCTAATAAAAAAGTGATGTAAATGTTAAAAGATCTTGAGACAGGTCAAGGAGTGGAGAAATACTGTAAATGTTTCACATAAATGTAAAATAGCCTTCCACAGCCTGGTGCTCTCCAGATACTTTGGACTGCATGCTCTCTAGAGATTATGGAATCTGAAATCCAGCACATCTGGAGGGTAGGGTGCTGAGCAGGTTGCTGGGTGGAAAAAGATTTATGATGGAGCCACCATATGCTTACAGTGTAACCCAAATGCAGCATTGTAAAGGAGCCCATGTTATGTGAAACTGAACCACCACCATTTCCATTGCCCCATCCTTCCAAACTAAGCCATCCAATGCAACATGGATCAGATTTTCTCCTTTTTCAGATCCATGTAGTAGGAATTCCTGCCACCCAGGAAATAATGGTGTCCAAGGAAGAAAACTAAACAGTGTTTAACCTAGTGGAAGCAAGCATCCATTCTGCTCAACATAAGAAGATTCTGGAAAAGATTAGCCCATTTCCTGAGCCTTGTCAGCACCCACCTCAAGTGGCCTTTGGGCCTCCAAGAGTGCAGCAATGATGTAGGCAGCTAGAGAAACTTCATCATTCACACCTCCCTGTCAAGCACATAACAAAAAAGAGAAAACAAGCCAGGTTACGACATCATTTTAGGAGATTATTTTATACAAAAGAAGAAAAGGAAATATTCCAAACCTCCCAATAAGTTATAAGGATGACACGAGAGAAAGGTATGATTCTTAGTATGTTATTGATTCAGCAGTGTTCCTGGTTGTCTTATCACCTTAACTCTTACCTTCATTGCTGTGTGGAGGAGCCTCCCCACGTTGGCAAAGCACCCAGTGGGCAGCTGGTTACTTCTCAGCCACTCCAAAGAAGCCTGGATATTCCGTTCATCAATAAAAATAAATTGCTTGGCTTGAATAAAGCACTTGGTTACAAAAGCTGTCAGCCTGCAAAAAGATGGGGAAAGCATGAAAGCACAGATACCTGTTGATTTAGGACTTTTGTCCCCAAGCAAGAATTCTGTCATAAGCACCTGCCCCTGCAAGGTGCCCTGCAAGTTCTCTCTTCCACAGCTCAGCCCGTTTCCTTCCGATCCCACTTCAGCCTGAAACGCCTGTATGGAACGCTTTTTTCTCAGCCTTAATATTCCTCCTCGAGAGCTGCTCTTTCTCTGAAGCTTTGGCCTTCCATTCATCATACCTGCCAACTGGCGGCTTTCATTTGTTGGCCTTCATCCTGGCCAAAAGGGTTCTTTCTTGGTTTTTTGTTATTCGTTTGTCTCCCACTTTTGTTTCTCCCCTCCCATTGCCTTTCCCCCTGCCAACAGTCAGAAGACTGCAGCCTCCTGGATCCACAGTATCTTTAGGGTTTGCTTCATTTCCTAGTGAAAGTCTACAAAAGCAGCCTGGATTAGCCAAGCTAGATACGAAATACTAAATAATGAAAATATCTGTATAGGACCAATCTACTGTAAAAAGGCTGAGACTTACCAGGTATTGCCTTGTCCATCACTTGGTCCAAAGGCACTATAAGAACCATCACTGTGTTTGTACTGAAGTTCTCTTTGATAACCTTTTGTATAAAAGAAACTGAATGTCACGTGGTTTAAAAAGAACCCCAACTCAGCGGAACAATAGAGTGCCAAGCCCTTCTATTCAGATGCCATGATGTAAAACTCTGATCCTGCACAGAACTGCAATGAGTTTAGCAATGGCACCAGAACATAGAGCATAGGTTCATCTGAGCAACCTTCCTCTAGTCCCTCCATCTTGCTTTGGATGATGACTGTGGAAGAAGGGGTTTTAAAAGGAAGAAGCTAACAGTAGAAAGGTTGACAGACCTGACTGCAGATAGTTCATTGCTTTGGTCTTTAGCTCTTCATTCAGCTGCCCTGTGCTCTGCAGGTATTGTAACACAGAGATGATGGGGGCAAACAGGACCATGTTTTGCTCTCCGCAGCCACTGGGCATCTTCACCAATTTATCCAAGTTCTGCAGTGCCATCCCCATTATATCACCTGTCCAGATAGATAGGCAGATGTGGATGAAGGTAGGATTTTTCTGTTTCATTGACCATTGCTCTCCAATAGACTTGCTGCATGTATCTCAGAAGTTACCTCATATGCCTCCTTACCAACTATCTGCACCCAAATGTAGCTATCACCTCTGGAAAAGCCATCTAAGAATATGGCATTAATTCATCTATGAAGACAAAATACATTTGGGTCTAATAGACAAATAAGTTTAAATCTAAGTCTGGAGTTGCAGTTTTACTTCAAAATCAGTATGTGTCAAACTTTCTTTTTAAAATGTCTCTTATGTTGTCCTATGTCTTAGGTCCCTATTGTATTTTATCAGTCATCAACCCTAATTAGAGAGAGAA